AGCATGGGTGCAAGGGATGCTGCAGAAGCATGGGTGCTGCAACACAATGGGTGCAAGGGATACTGCAGAGCATGGGTGCAAGGGATGCTGCAGAAGCATGGGTGCTGCAACACAATGAGTGCAAGGGATACTGCAAAGCATGGGTGCAAAGGATGGTGCAGAAGCATGGGTGCTGCAATGCAATGGGTGCAAGGGGTGCCTCAGCCACATGGGTGCTGCAACGCCACGGGTGCTGAGGGGCCTCCCATCCCACAGGCTGCTGCAGGATCTCTTCCCCAAGGCGTCCGAGCTCTACGAGCGGGTGGCCAGCAACCGGGAGCAGTGGACCAAGGTGTCCCACAAATTCACCATCCGGGGGCTGCCCAGCAACAACTCCCTGGACTTCCTGGACGAGGAGTACGACCCGCAGGCCCTGGGCGCCCCGGGCACCCAGCTCAACGGCTGCCTGGATGCCGAGGCGCTCCCGGAGTCGGGCGCCGAGTGAGGGCGGCCACCGCGGTGGAGGGGACAAGCGGGTGGCCCCGAGCCCCCCCCACGCACCCCCCCCAGCTCCTCCTCCTGCGCCGGGAGCCGCTGCCTTTTGGGACCTTCTTATTTATAGGGTGAATTCCCCCGTGGCCCCCGCACCCAAGCCCCGGCCAGGGCGCCGCGTCGCCCTCCCCGGGGCTGGATTATCCGGGTGTCTCCTGCGCCCAGCGCCGGTGGCTCCTTGCGGACTTCTGGGGACCACGCTGAGCACCCGGCGCCCCTTGGGGACACGTCCTTGTTGGGTGTGTGTGGGGGGGGTTAAGGTGGGGGATATGTGTTTTAAGCTGCCTTAAGGCTGCTGCGGCCGGGGGTCCCACGTGGGGCTCCGGTGCTGCCAGTGCCTGGGGGGAGGGCTTGGGAATGTCGGGAATTGGGGGGCACCAAAGCCCCCCGAGGGTCTGGGGGCGCGTTGTGGCATCAGGACAGCGAGGAGGGTGATGGGGTGGAGGAAGAGGGGAGCCAGGAGAGGGAGGAGACACAAGGGGGCACCCGGTGCGAGGCCGCCGCGGAGGTGGCCCTCACCCGGCTTCGTCCCCACGCGGCCGCGTGGGGAGCTGCACAGGGTGCCCGTGCTGCCCCGGGTGGCCCTCGCCTGGGTGCCGAGCTCCCTGTGGTTCCGTCTGGGCTCCGCGATGAGTCTGGTTCCTGCCGTGTCCCCACGGACCATGAGAGTGTCCCCCAACCTCCTGAGTGGCCTCCCAGCAGCTCCTGCTCCACCGAGTGCCAGGCACAGACCCCTCTGGTCACCCGTGGTCCCTCCAGCTTCATCAGCCTCCATACATGGAGCTCAAGAGCCATCCAGTCCCTCCAGYCCCACTGACCATCATGCATGGACCCCACTGACCACCCATGGGCCCTCCAGCCCCATCAGCCCCCATGCATGGACCTCAATCCCCATCCAGCCCCACCAGTCCCACTGACCATCATGCATGGACCCCACTGGTCACCATGGGCCCTCCAGCACCATCAGCCCCACTGACCATCATGCATGGACCCCACTGGTCACCCACAGGCCCTCCAGCCCCATCAGCCCCCATGCATGGACCTCAATCTCCATCCAGTCCCTCCATCCCCACTAACGTCCATGCATGGAATCCAATGGCCATCCAGTCCCACCAGCCCCACTGACCATCATGGATGGACCCCAGTGGCCACCCATGGGCCCTCCAGCCCCACTAACCTCCATAAATGGAGTCCGATGGCCATCCAGTCCCACCAGCCCCACTGACCATCATGCATGGACTCCACTGACCACCCATGGGCCCTCCAACCCCATCAGCCCCCATGCATGGACCTCAATCCCCATCCAGTCCCTCCAGCCCCACTGACCATCATGCATGGACTCCACTGACCACCTATGCACCCTCCAGCCCCATCAGCCCCCATGCATGGACCTCAATCCCCATCCAGTCCCACCAGCCCCACTGACCATCATGCACAGACCCCACTGGCCACCTGTGGTCCCTCCAGCCCCACTAACCTCCATGCATTGACCCCACTGGTCACCTGTGGTCCCTCCTGCCCCACAAATCTCCATGCATGGACCCCACTGATCACCTGTGGTCCCTCCAGCCCCAAGAACCTCCATGCATGGACCCTAGTGGCCACTCAGTCCCTCCAGCCTCACCTGCCTCCATGCATGGCCCCACCGACCACCTTCAGTCCTTCCAGCCCCACTGACTTCCATGCCTGGACCCTGATGACTGACTGCGATCCCTCCAGCCCTACTGACCACCGTGCATGGTCCCCAATATCTGCCCGTGGTCCCTCCAGCCCCAACTATCCCCATGCATGGACCCCAACTGCTGCCCAAAGTCCCTCTGGCCCTACTGACCACTGTGCACAGACTTCACCAGCCACCCACAGCTCCTGTAGCCCCACTGACTGCCATGCACAGGTGCCACCAGCCACTTATGTCCCACCAGCCCTAGTGCCCACCGTGCAGGGACCCCACCAGCTCCCCATGCTTCCACCAGTCCCACCAGACATGGACCCTGCTGGTCATGCATGGTCCTGCCAGCCCCACCATGCACAGACCTTGCTGGCCACCCACAGTTCCTGTGGCCCTCCTGATGGTTGTGCATGAGTCCCACCAGCCACTCGTATCCCTCCAGCATGACTGCCACTGGGTGTGGGCCCCACAGCCACCTCTAGCTCCCTTGATCACCATGCATGGGCCCGTGTGTCCTTCCACCCCACTAAACACCATGCATAGACCCCAATGTCTGCCTGCAGTCCCTGAAGCCCCACCAACCACCATGCATGGTCCCTAATGTCTGTCTGCAGTCCCTGCAGCCCCACCAACCACCATGCATGGTCCCCAATGGCTGCCTGTGGTCCCTTCAGCCCCACCAACCACCATGCATGGTCCCCAAGGGCTGCCTGTGGTCTCTCTGGCCTCTCCAACCTCCATGTATGGACCCTGAGAGTTGTCCATAGTCCCTCCAGCCCCACCAATCACCATGCATGGTCCCTGATGCCCCTTGAGCCCAACCAACCTCCATGCATGAACCCCAGGTGGTCACCTCTGGTCCCTCCAGCCCCTCCTGCCTCTATGTATGGAACCTGACAGTTGCCCATGGTCCGTCCAGCCTCACCAACCTCCATACATGAATCTCAATGGCCACCTGTGGACCTTCCAGCCCCACCAACCTCCATGTATGAACCCCAGATGGTCACCCCCCATTGTTCCTCCAGCCCCATCAATATCCATGTATGGACCCCAGTGTCTGCCCATGGTCCCTCTAGCCCCACCAGTCTCCATGCATGAACCCCAGATGGTCATCTGTTGTTCCTCCAGGCCAACCAACGTCCATGCATGGACCCCTCTGGCCACCCATAAGTCCCTCCATCCTCCACGCATGGACCCCAGATGGCAACCTGTGGTCCGTCCAGCCCCATCAACCTCCATGCATGGACTCCACCAGCCAATCATGGTCCCTCCAGCCGCACCAGCCTCCACGAATGGACCCCAGTGGCCACCCATGGTCCCTCCAGTCCCTTCAACCTCTACGCATGGACCCCAGATGGTCACCCGTGGTCCCTCCAGCTCCATGGATGGACCCCACCAGCCACTCACGGCCCCTCTAGCCCAACCAACCTCCATACATGGACCCCAATGGCCACTCGTGGTCCCTGTGGCCTCCAGGCTCTAAYGAGAGCATCCCAGCAAGCCGCTCCAGAGGCTCCCTTGAGCCTTTGGAGAGGCACCATCCGAAACCACGGGTCTCATCTAAAGAGGCCTCATGTAAAGCCTGCTGAGACCCTGTGGGTCTCCATGGGGGCCCTGCGCTTGACGAGGTCCTGCCGGCGTCTCGGCGCCGCCGGATTTACGGCAACGAAGGAAGAGCGCTGGTGGCCACGGGGGTATCCAAGCGGCCAGGCAAGCTCCTGGCTTGTCCTTCAGGATCCGGGCTGCCGAGAGGCCACTGCTCCCGCTCTCCTTTCCCTCTGGAAAGGATCCCAGGAGGGGACACCCCCCCCCAGCGGGGAAAGGAGCCCCAAACCGGGCGCATTTTGCCTTACCTACTCCGAGTTGCCTTTAGGGAGCCGCTCGGGGCCGCTTGGGCTGCAGGAGCGCGGCAGGGCTGCAAGGCAGGACCCCCCAAAACCCCCCATAGGAAAAAGCCAGTGAAGCCCCCCCCAAACCAGTGCACCCCTCCCTAGGCTCCAATCTGCTCCGGAACGGATCCGGTTTTCCCGGGATGGGTTGGCAGCGCCGGAGYCGGCCCTGAGGTCGCTTTTGGCACCGGGCTGCGGGTGCGTTTTGCTYGCCCGCTGCCCTATAGGCACCTATAGGCACCGGGAGGGATGCGCCCGCCTGGCCCAGCTTCTCTGTCCCCTCTCCGTGCTCGCCGGGCGTCCCTTTTCCCAGGAGGAACGCTGCCATTTTCGCTCCGGCGTCGTCCAAGTTGGGTTTTCCTAATAAATTTCGTATGTCCAAGTTGCTGCGGCACCGGCTCCATGTGCGGCGCGTTGGGATGCGGGCGGGAAAGCCTCGGTGCAAAGYGTGCAATGTGTGCGTGGTGAGGCATGCAAAGAGTGCAAGGTAAGGTGTGCAAGGCCAGGTGTGCAAAGGTGTGCAAGGTCTGGTGTGCGAGGCAAGGTGTGCATGGGAAGCACAAGGAGAGGTGTGCAAGGCATGGCATGCAAAGACGGCTCAAGGAAAGGTGTGCAAGGTCCGGTGTGCAAGGCAAGGTGTGCAAAGAGAGCACAA